TTTTAAAAATTAAAAAAAAAATTTTTAAAAAAAAAAAAAAAAAAAAAAAAAAAAAAAAAAAATAACGTAAATAACTTTACAAGGAAAAAACAAAACTATATTAAGTAAATTTTATACAATTTATACATACTTTTTATAATAAATCTCATAACATATAAAAATAAAATGATAAATAAATAATGAGCTTAATATATTGAAAAATAAGTAAAATATAGGATAGCACAAGGAAAAAAAAATATAAAAAATGTAGAATAAGCCTTTACTATATGTTGATATTTTATAAATATATATTAAGTGAAATAAATAGAAAAAAAAAATTAAGATGTATTTTGTTTAAATAAAAAAGAATTTTTTTTTTTTTTTTTTTTTTTTTTTTTTTTTTTTTTTGCAAAAATATAAAAATATTATTTCTAACGCTTTTATAAAAGAACATTAAATATCTATTCATAATAAAATTAATAAATATAAAAATAATATTATGTCTTTATAAGTTTTTATATAAAATATATAAGCATTTTCTTTTTTTTTTTTTTTTTTTGAAGCTGTTTTAAGCCAATGGTATTCCTGTAGCTACTCAATAATATTTTATACTTTTCTTATTTACGTAAATATAAAAAAATACAATTAACTATATTGTAAATCTACATATTTTAAAAAAAATATATTTATATATATAAATTCTACTTTATATATTATTAATAAACAATATAAATTTTATTTTTTTAAAATCACAGTTAATTTATGGTTGCTAGTTTATATTTTTATACACTACTATTTTTTATACAATTGCACTTTTGTTAAATTCATGAAAAATGAATTAACGCACCTTAAAAATTTATTCAAGTGCATAAAATATGATAAAATAAAAAAAAAAATAATGGATATTTGATTCATAATTTTCTTCTATTTTCATTTTTTACAATATATTACAATCCATATTAATCTTTTTTTTCTTTTTTTTTTGTCAATTTTACATAAATATGAATTCTATATTTTTTTATTTTATATATTTTAATTTTAAGAAAAGATATATAAAATCATGTATGCAGTAAATTCTTTAAAAACAAAGTTCATACCTTTTTTTTTTTTTTAAATAAAATTTAAAATAATATATAATATTTCTTTTAAAAAATAAAAAAAAATAATTTCTTTGGGTGTATAATATATAAAGTATACAGAAACTTATGAAAGATTAATTTAAATAAATTTTAAAATTATAAAAATATTTTTTGTATAATGATATAATTACAAAATCCTTTAAAAAAAGAAATATATGGAAAAACAAAAAAAAGGAGAATTTTCCATATTTACATATTTCAATATTTCATAATTGTAATGTTATTTTAAATGTATATTGCTCTCCTTTTTTTTAATCATATTATTTTTTTATAATCTCTAGCTTTATTTTTCTTTTTTTTTATTATAATACATTTTCTATTATTATAATATACTTTTTTTTTTTTTATTTATTATATTAAATTTCTTTCGTGAAACTTTTTATTTTCCTCATTTATTAATCTTATACTATTAAAGGACAAACTATATTATTTTTCTTTTTGGCATAAAATGGAATATTAAAAGGATTTTTACAGTTTAAAAAAAAAAAATAATAATAATAGAATTGTTAACTTTAGATAATATCTACTTATAAATGTATACTTATATTTTTTAAAGTCCATTTTGATTATTTTTGTTTATAAATGATGACATTAATAATATATATTCCTTCTCATAAATATATACTTAATAACTTTTCTACTAATAAATGTTATTTAAAAATATTAATAAAATAATAATTTACTATTTTTTTTTTTTTTTTTTTTTTTGTGATAAATTCATTAAAAAGTTTATAGGAACAATCTCAATATATTGTTAAAAAAAAATAGTCTATATCCTTGTCAAAAATTATTTTTAATTTTCATCACACTTTAATGCACAAAAATATAATAATAAACTATGTAAATATCTTGAAAAAAAAAAAAAAAAACAACACTTTATCTTTTTTTTTTTCTGTATAATTTTTAAAGCAATGTATTATAATATATATACAATGTTTTAGCATTAATACTTTTTTAAGTAAAATAAATGTACATGTATTATTAAAATACGACACAATTTGGCATTTATTTTTTTTTAAAAATTAGATGTAATTAAATGTAAAAATTTTTGAAACAAAAAAAAATAATTTATAAATGATGAAATACATTTTAGTTTTCATTTAATAAAAAAAAAAAAAAAAAAAAAAATTAAATATGAAAATTTTAAAATCTTAAAAAATAAAAATTATAATACATTGTATATATATGTAATTATATATTCCTGATGTATAAAAAAAAATATAATAAATAATTCATGTAATATATGTTTTTTTTTTTTTTAATTCATAATAATTTGCTTATTAATTCAAAATTTAATAAAATTATTTTTTCTTTAACCTATGGATTAATATAAATTATTTGAATATGAATATTTTTTGTTTTCTAAACTATATAAAATTTTGAAATTATTTTTAAATAACTACATATAGGATAATATAAAATATTGGCATAAAAAAAATTTAAGAATTTATAAATATATAAGATTTTACAATCATAATATATATATATATATCAGAAATTTTAAGTTTTTATAATTAAAAAATTTAAGTTTTTTTTTTTTTTTTTTTTGAAAAAACAACAAAATTCTTTATAATGAATAATCCTCACAATTTTGATATAAATAATTTAAAAAAACTTGGAAAAATAGGAATAAGCATAGGTGCAGTAATAGGAGTAACTTCTTTTAGTAGTTGGCTTTTTAAAAATAGTTTATACAATGTAGAAGCAGGAAAAAGAGCAATAAAATACAACCGTATATTTGGTTTATCGAATAAAATATATGGTGAGGGAACACATTTTTTAATACCTTATTTTGAAAGATCTATAATTTACGATGTAAGAACAAAACCAAGAGTACTAATGTCACTAACAGGATCAAGAGATTTACAAATGGTTAATATAACATGTCGTGTTTTATCAAGACCTAATGAGAAAAAATTAGTAGAAATATATAGAACATTAGGTAAAGAATATGATGAAAAAGTATTACCTTCTATCATAAATGAGGTTTTAAAAAGTGTTGTAGCACAATATAATGCATCTCAATTAATTACACAAAGAGAAGTTGTAAGTAAATCTGTAAGAGAACAATTAGTTCAAAGAGCCAAAGATTTTAATATTTTATTAGATGATGCATCAATAACTCACTTGAGTTTTAGTAACGAATATGAAAAAGCTGTTGAAGCTAAGCAAGTAGCTCAGCAAGAGGCAGAGAGAAGCAAATATATTGTTCTAAAAGCTGAACAAGAAAAAAAATCTACTATTATTAAAGCACAGGGAGAAGCAGAAGTAGCCAAATTAATAGGGTTAGCTGTTAAGGATAACCCTGCATTTATGGAATTAAAAAAAATTGAATTATCAAAAGAGGTATCTAATATTATTTCAAAATGCCAAAATAAAGTTATGTTGTCAGCAGATTCATTATTGCTAAATTTTGTAAAATAAAATATAAATATATGTAAAGTAATTTTAAAAAAAAAAAAAAATTTATACATATATTTCTTTCTACTTTAATTTTTTTTTTTTTTTTTTTCTTACATTCTTTAATTATGTTGATACATTTATTTATACATATATAATTATATATATTTATTATTATTATTATTATAGTTATTTTCATTTATTTACATTTATTTAATAACTATTATTCATTTAAATATAATTTTTATATATTTTTTTTTAATTTTTCTATTTTATACTTTATTAGTTTTTTTTAACACTTAGGAATAATGAAACATACTTATTTAAATATTTTTAATTTTTCAATTATTTTATTTTTTTTTTTTTAATGTAAATTTTTTTATTCTTCTCCAAACTTATTCTTACTTAACATAATTTCCTTTTTAATATTCTTTTTTTTCTTCACAAAACAACAAAGATTTATTTATCTCTTCCTATAAAAAGATACGTATAAAAAAAAAAAAAATAATAAAAAATAATAATATAATAATATAATAATAATATAAATGAATATGCAAATAAAACTTTCTGATAAATATGTTTTATTAAATACATATTTTAGAATTATATGGATTTTATTAATTAAAAAATAAGAATATAAAAAGAATACTATTATATGTGTAAAAAAAAAAAATCAATGATAACAAAATTATAAGTGTAAAAATTAATTCACTATTTTGTTTTTTAATATTTTAAAGTAAAATATGTTTCTTATTAACTTAATGATTTTCTAAAACTTTTACATAAATAATATTTTTTTTTTTTTTTTTTTTTTACGTCTAATTCTATTAAATTATCCAAATGATTCAGAAAATAGCTATAGTAATCACATGATCTAAGATAAAAAAAAAAAAAAAAAAAAAAAAAAA